AGCCAGAGCCCTCCTGGAGAGTCGGATGACAGCGAAAGCAGCGAGTCAGAGGAGGTTGATCTGTACAGAGGAGATAGTGAGCCAAGCAGCACCAGCCATCGCCGCAGAAGAAGATCTGGATCTGACGACGGAGGACTTGGAAGGGATCACGCAGGAAGTCTTCGAAACCGTGTACGAAGCAGAGATAGACGCACAACAGTCAGATCAGGACTTGAGTGACGTACGAACAAAAAACTTGCAGCCCGATTGAGCCTGACGTTTGAGACCACTGTTCTAGAGCAACTTCGGGAAATCAAAGAGATTTGTGTGCAAAACTAAACTCGGATCGAGGAGGCTCTTAGACAACTCAAATCTTGTGAGACGAACCTCAGCTCTTTGACCCTTTCTTAATTCGTTGGCACTCAAGCACCTCAAGCCGTGGTAAGGATCAGAGATGCATGTAAGCCCTCAACCTTGATTGCTCCCTCAAGCGTATCTCCTTCTGCCCCTCCTCTGGACACCATTATTAATGGTAACATCTACGACGGAGTGTTTTGAAGCAAATCTAGGCAATACAGCTGGAGCTCCAAACATCGTCAAATTCACTGTTCCCAACCCCGAGATACCCTCGAAGAATGTTACATGCCAAATTAGAACAGTATACCCGAAAAGGGAGAGTGCACGCTGCTATGACCAAATGTACTCTTTTAACCACTTACACTTTCTGGCGTGTCTTTCAAGATTGTGATTTCTCTTACTCGTCTACGGTACCTCAGAATGGATGCCAGATCTAGAGAGCCTTTCCGAAAGACCCATGCAGTGACTGGTGGTATCGAAGTTCCGAGTTGGGTATGTTATGGTCAAAACACCAACAAGGCTATACCTTGATACAGTAGGGTCAGGGATGACCCAAGACCACTTGGAGGGGCAAGCTCAACCATCAAGCTTAAGGCACATTTATTCCAGGCAGATGCCCTAATGGACTTGCAAACCCATGCCCACTTAACTGACCCAACATAACGGCTGTCAACAGTGTTGGCTTAGGTTACATATCTTATCCATCCGGTTATACCATTGCCAAAGATTTGTACCTCAAGTGTTCCCAAATAGGAGGTCTAATGTTTTTAATGTATCTTGTATTCAAGTTCTGTCTTTTTTTTTATAACCTGCACAAGATATGGTGGGTGCTCCCATCTTTACCAGTAACTAAGATTGGAATATACTCTCAATTTTAAATTAAAGAGGAAAAAAAAAAAAAAAAGTGTAGAAACTGCCCACATCAACCAGATCTTAGCATTCATCTTCAACCCTGGATTGTAAATATACCAAGTGAAATACAACTGGTTGCTTTGGGCAACACCCCCATAATTTTTTTCTTTCGCAGAATGCTGTTAGGCCTCACACAGGCGTAAAGAACAGGCATTAAGAAACCTTTCCAAATGATATGCAATGCTAATGCTTGCTCTTTACATCAATAGGGAGCAGTCTAGTACACACGGTGCATTTGCATTAATTTTGATCTTGCCTGCAACATTTGGCAGACATTGCAACTTGCAATCTTGCCAAATGCCTCCATTCAAGTGAATGCAAGCATGCTGCAAATGTGTTTATATGCAAAGTGTTACCACATGTTTTTGGAGTGCT